TCTTTCTCTTACTCCGATTCTTAGCTGTCAGCGGGTTATAGCAAAGTATGTTATCATCGTCACTTTTCATTATTACTCCTTTTGTAGCAATGGACGTGACACAAGCCACTATTTGAGCTTTGATATTACATGACCCGATTACTGTCTTGAATAAAGAATCGGAACTCTAGTTGGCCAAGATGACGACGTTGAGCTATTACTACAATATTTAGCTACAGAGATATCATTTGCAGGAGGGCACGTTCACATGATTACATATCGTTTAATTAATATATTATATGTACAAAATATAACATTAGATAAATATAAAAAATTCTACATTATAGTTTACATGCCCAAATTCATTTGTTCATGCTCTAACACTTTCCAGTTTTTGTCTTGATGCGGTCAGCACCGCCGTTCATCATTGTTGGAATCAATGAAGGTCTCTTCTTGCTTTTGTGACGAATGGACAACTTTTTTTTAAAGCTATTCTGCTGTAACGACTTTATTTGTTGATTTTCTTTTTTATTCCCTTCTGTAAGAGTAAAATTAATTTGGTAAGTAAAGTAAACTTCATTTCAAATGCAATATTCACGACTTCACTAACCAAGGAATGCAGCAATTTCTTTATTAGTTAATCCAGCAGCAGATCCAAGGTCCCTCACTGTCTGTCCTAAATTGTCATAAATCTCAGTATTTGCACCTGCATCGATTAGCGTGTTACAAATCCTTTGATGATGATTGCGAATGGCTTCATGTAGTGGCGTCCTATATTATAAATACAATTAATTATCGGAAGAATGACTATAAAACGGGCTGATTATCGTATCTCACATGAGAGGGTCACACTCCATCCTCTTTCATACTAACTTACCGGCCATTTATGTTCTTTGCATTGACATCGGATCCAAATTGAAGTAAGACTATAACCATTTCCAAGTATCCTTTGCATGCCGCATAATGTAGAGGACTGTTACCTCTGTATCAAATGAAATAATGTAAATACGGTTTGGATCAAGCATAATAGGTGCAAGTAATTAAGATAGATACCGTAAGTCTTTTTGGTTTACATTAGCCCCATCTCGAACTAATTCCAGTGTCAGCATAACATCATTCTGAACAAACAAACACATTGTGCTGCTGGCAATTGCAGCCGCATCCATTCTACACGATCAGCCAATGCAAAAAAGGTAAAGCAAATGTATTAATAATGACGTAAAGACCCCAAAATGAGGTTGAAGAAGACCCCACCCCACACACACACACACGCACTCTTGCGGATATGCACATGTCACTTATGTATTGTACACACCTGGACAATAACAGTCGGCATATATGAATATTACCAGTTGCTGCAGCGACATCAATGGGATAGACCCATCTCACATGATCTGTCTCACCATTTACTGCCGTTCGTTTAGCAAACAATTTGCTCTTAATGCCATCTATAACGTCTTCCGTACACAGACTCCGTGATTTCCTTCTCTTACGTGAGTTCAATAATCTAAGTGTCAGAAATTGCTCTAATGGAAGTCCTTGAGTTGGATCTGCTCCGTTATCGAGCAGCGTCTTCACAAGCAGAAACTGGCTAGATGACACTTTTGAGCCAGCGGACGTGTGCCTGTCTGTTGTCTCTTCCACAGACGTTTGAGCCAATGCTATAATTAGTGGTGATAGCCCATACCATGTCTGATTCATATTGGCTTTCTATTGAATACATATGAACGCATTTGCATTAACAAGTTCATTGGTCAGCATCATATATACACAAGATGAATGAATCACTCACTCGGATCATGGTCTTTGCCAGGTTATGCAGGCCAAGGGCAACCGCCAGAATAAAGTAACTCGGAAATTTGAATTCAAACACATTATTTGCAGTTGCCGGTTTCACAAATATCTCTCTATTTATATTAGTTGGAATGCCTCGTTCATACATGGTCATTGCAACATCCTCGAGACGATGTGCCATCGCCATTAAAAAGACGTTATTTGCCTCGGATGGCCGTTTCTTTTTCATGGTACTTCCGGATATGTAAGACAGAATGCGAATCGCTTCTGATACCTTGTGATCTCGGATAGCAAGTTCCAGATTCTTCAAAAGGACTGAAAAGAAAAATCTCAGCATCGATGTGAAGAGGAGAGGAGAGGGCAGTCAGCTACCGTCAGCTATATGCAAACCTGATGCAGTTCTCGGCTTTGCTTTCTTCATGGCTAAAAATTTAAAGGCCGATGTACTGGGTGGACTCCTTCGTACTATAGCCAAGTTTTTGGATACCATATGATCCATCTCTTTTGTTAATTTACGTTCTAAAGTCACATATATCAGTACCGACAAGTAAAAGTGATCATTCGTTACAATTAACAATTGAAGCCAAATATTTTATGTACCTTTCTTCCCTTTTAGATTTGATTTTCCGAGATCTTTTACGATACCAATTTGTCTCAATTTGTTCTCCTGTTTCTGTAAGGTAGTTAATATAGTTATCTGATATCGAGGGTATTCATCGTTCTTCCTGAATTCGGCAAAAGTAACATACGATAGCCCAGGCTTGTTATTCATAAAAATGTCCATAACTGGAGGAAGACTATTCTTACGGCCAGTATTGATGGTATACGCTTTAGTTACATTTGTGGCAGAAATTGCTGATAGTCGTTTTGATTTGCGGGACACATGAGGGAATAAGCCATCAGAGGATAGTTGAGAATCAGAGTCTGTCGAGAAAGGTGAAGTCTCGATCGTGATCTCAAAAGAGGGTAAGAGTGACGTGAGTGGCGGAGTATTGGGCAGGGTGGCTGGAGGTGACGACGGAGAAGTAGGAATGAGTTTAGGCGAAGGTGGAGTAGAAGTCTTTTTATTTGGCTTATGTAAAGAAAATTTGCCAAAGGCCAAAGTAACTCCGGGTATTCTACCTCTAGCTAATTAATGATGGAATGAGCGGTTATAATAAGCTGAAAGTGAGTGTAAAACTAAACGCATATACTGTTCAATTTAATTACCTTTACTATTATTTTTCATATCAGCGAAATAAGTGAATGTGGATTACAAGACAGTACCGAAAGGGGAGTGAAAAGATCCGTCCTGTTTCTCCAAAAGATGGCTGCGGTGCAGAGATGACAGAAACTCGAAACGCATAAGAGCTCAAGAATGTTGATATTTGGGCATTTAATATTGATCGTTTTACCTATATTAATACTAATATAGAGACAAGAATTAAAAAAAATGAAATATCCGAGACGCATTTATGCAAATTACAATATATGGTAATTCCCTCTACCCTGTAACTCCAAATGGTGATGATTATGTCATGAATGCACATAACATCCATTCATAGATCATTCGTCCGACAATAGAATGTCTTCCCTGGCCCAAACAGCACAATTCAGCGAGAAGTCAAGATTACATCCTGATCCCCGTTCACGAGCGTCAACCACGCAATTGTTAACACCTCATAATGTGTCTGCCAAAGCAGAACCTTCAACATCTTCGAAAAAGAAGAATAAAAAACCGGGTAAGTGAAAGAGAGTGCGTGTATGGTGCATTGGGTACCTGGGACGCGAATATAGTACAAATGCGATTGAATATACAGAGTCTCTGTCTGTAAGAGGGTGACTGATTTAGTTTATTGTCTTGTGTTATGTGTAATTGTTTTAATGTTTATTGTACCAGATTACTAAGTTGATTCCACATTAGTCTATTCACAGCCAGCTGATACAGGCACGGTGAAGCATACGCTTAGTCAACTTCATAAAGTCATTAACTTTTTGAAGGTGAATACTAGTTAATATTTGCTGCGTGGAGGTCATATGTACTCTTTTGTAGAGTTGCAAGTATTAGTATTTATTTTTATAACACTGATTTATACTGCGAGTAAGAAGCCGCTTGTATCTGTTGTTGTGTTGGCTATAGTAGGTTTGTTCTTTGTTGATGGTTTTTCTTTGCTTCGTTTATTATGTCCAGGAAAGAGTTGATTCTCCCCAGTCGGCAGAAGATTTAAAGAATCATCAAATAGCGGACATAACTGCTAATGACGAGTTATATAAACTCATGATTAATAATGAAAAGATTGAATACGATGCTATGAATGGTACCTTTAAATACAAAGTAAGTTTTCGGTAGTAACATCCAATTGCTAGTTCATTTATTATGATGCTGTTATTAATTGTCATAATTTTCTTGTCTTCAACTAGCCAGAGTTTATGATACGTAGCAGTGAAGATTTACTTCAGTTACTGTACGAGAGAAAAGATTCCAAGCCATGCGGAATGCACTTTAAAGACCTTGCTGACTCTTACGTAGACGTGACGACCTCAATTCAAGTAAGAATAGTGAGACATGATATTAACAATCATTATTAGAAAAGTTGGTGTTGGGATATTGTCGGGAGTTATATTAAGAACAAAATAATGTCGGTTTTGGTTCATATATACATATGGCATTGAGATTGACACTAATGCTGCTTATACCAATATCAATTAATATTATTATTAGGAACTGGAAAAAGAGAGTCGAATTTTAGTCATTCGTTTGATGAAAGATAACTCTCCTCGTTTGATGTTTTGGAATGATGTAGGCGAGAATACTACTATGGATAAAGGTATTTTATTCTGACACACGTATGTGGGGGTGATGACATATGACCTCGGGGCATGATTATAATATGCACGTATCCTAATTCTTTGTTACCATGTTTGTAGAATTTGTTGATATGTTCCATAAAGTAAAAACTCCTGACGATGTAGATCTCAAAGTAGAGCTTCAGAAAGGTAAAGGTCGATCACATGACAGCCATTGTATTGTTATAATATATAATACTGATTACAACCCGTTCTTCAACAGCTGGTCTTCAGACGATGGCTATCTTAGAAAATAAGGCAACTGGCGAGGTAATTTAGACGATTATGATCAATATTTGACATTTAGAGTGCAGCTCCAGGAAATACTGAAATCACTTTCATATTTATTCAGATAAAACCTAAACAAAGAAAACGGAAACAAGGAAACAGAAAAATCAAGATAACAAACACTCATTTAGATCTCGACCTTACTAAAGATTATACACCAATGAGATCATAAAGAGCGATAGGGGACATTTTGATCTTCTCGTTAACGTGCTAAAAGTGGTTATATACTATGTTGCTGTTGCGAACACATAGAGTTCAATAAATCTGATCCGCAAGTTTCTTTCCAAATTTCAGAATTATTGACCGATATACTGTATGACTTGGGACAAAATATTAATCATCTGGGAAGTGGGAATCTGCTGACAAAGTAACACAAATTTTTAGAATTCAATTTGTCTGGAAAAATCAATTCATGAGATCATGAAGAGTTTATAATGTCAAGATCAAACACAAGCCTTGTGTCTGTATACTGTTGATATCAATCAAACTTAAACTTGACACCTTATGGTTTTGTTAGGGGAAGAGCTTTTAAAAGGCATTGACCGTCGTTAATAATAAGTTTTATCACTCGTTTTCATTATAGTGATTTTAGTCCGTCGTTATTACATGCATGTGTTCCTCAAGCTCATCAACTTCTTGCCTATGAAATTTTCAAACATAGAGTCATTGTAAAGTTGCATGGCAATATGCATACTTTGTTTATTACATTATAGACATACAATTCCTATTTGGCAAACTGCGCTGATATATGGATGATCCTAAACTACGGTTTGCGTGATGGTGAACTCGACATTGAGTTTCACTATGTAATAGGTTGAGTAGCGAGAATGGTTTAATAATGCCATTTTTTCGAAACACTGATGCGATTTTCTGTTCATTCCATTATATATCGAATTTGACAAACGTCATTACAAACGATCAACGTTTGAAAGCCCAGAATCTGCTATGACCAAGCTTTAAATTGGCCCGCACATCGGTAAACCTCTTTACCTCATCTCTCATAAATACACATACCAACCGAACGACCCAAAGTAAGATAAATATAACAATATGAGGCTTTATTCATTTACGTGGCGTACTTTTCCTTATGTTGTCTTATGGCTTCAGCGATGGCTTCAGCGACAGCAGTGTCACTGCCCAATTCGCTAGCTTCGTTAAATAATGAAAATAATCCCTCTGGGAGTCCAGCTGTCAAATTAGCGATACGCTCATGAAACATTTCCAAAGGAGTCTTTAATTGTTCAGAGGCAGGCTTATCCGAGCCAGAGGTAGGCTTATCCGAGCCAGAGGTAGGCTTGTCGGAACCAGACGTAGAGCTAGAAAGCGGTTTCCCGGAGCTAGAACTACTCGAATCAGCGTTCGATTCGTCCGTCACAGAATCTTCAGTAGGTGATTGTACATTTGCACTTGACGGTGCTCTAGGAATAGACCGCGAACCCGGTGTTGATGTTCGTCTTAAATATGACAGATCCGACCGTAGGTTTTCGAGTAATGAAGATGGCGTATATTTCTGTGACTTTACTGACCGACTAGAATTCTTGTCAGCTATAGGACTATCTACAATTTCTGTTGGTGTTGCATCGTTCATTTCCTCATTAAGATTGTCGTTCTTCTCATCAGCCTTGTCCTCCTTTCCACTATCTTGATAGTAGGATTTGAGATTCTTCACCAAAGATGGGAATGTATGAACGTACGAATACTTTGGCGGTTGGGCTGGCAGGTCTTTAATGTGTTTAGTCGATACGTCTCGAATAAAAATTCGAACTATTCTATCTGGATGTTCACGAGCGATTGTAGTGTATCTATTATAATAAAAACCAAATAATCATTGTTAATAGGCAGCTGTAAATAATTTCCAAATTGATTAATGTACTAATCTTACATCTCTGGGTCCAATTCTCCAGAATCTCCAACTAAGATAAATTTTCGTTGAGGGAAGTCTTTGAGTAACTCTCTAATATACATGAATTTGCTAGCCGTCGGATTTTCTTTTTGTTCTCGAGCACTTTTTATAAGACCATCATAAAACTTAAGGTGAGCCGATCCCGGAGGAAAATTGTATTCTTTGAAAAAGTTACGCAGCATTGGGAACAGTTGCCACGGCGAATTGGAGACGTAATGAATTGCGATGCCTTTCTCGTACTGCGTGCAGTAAATAATAAATTACATAATAAGATGAAAAACATGGCAACGTTCTAACCACAGATTCGCTATATGGTGAGAGTGAATGCTGATAGGAATGGTACGTTGTATTCTGTTTAAACAGACGTAGGTAACAGCCGATGTGTTTGATTACTTACCCAGCTACGGTACGCATCAGCCATGCCGTCAACCTGTTAAAAAATTGTATTTAACAGCAATTCTAATATTACCAACAGCAAAATTTCATCCGATTATTAAAACTCACAGCTTTAGTGGGCTGCAAAAACGTGTTTGTGAGGACTTTCCCCACACCATCCATCACGTCAGTTTCTTTGATTGTATCATCTATATCCTAAATATCAGAATGAGCAAGTTAGTGACAGATTATAACTAAAGCTTCATTAGCTACCATAATTTCCATTAATAAGTTAGCTTTACTTACAGAAATCACCGATATCCCATCTGACCCAATCAGATTGACTACACCGTGTGCAGGTTGAGCTTATGAAGACAACATGATTACTAGTCTTTCCAATTTTAGCCCTTTCCATAATATAACCAATTTCACTTACAAATTTTAGCATCATAAGCTTGAATTTTGATCAATCGCACCTTCGATTTCGATTCCTTGGTGGAATGTGGCTTATACAAGTCCATTCTCTCTTCCTGTTGAACCCATTTCTTGATAGTAGATTGAGGTATGCCAATGGTACCTGTGAATTGGCCGCCATTACAAGATATCTTTGTGCTCTTGGTTTCATAGTCAGGATGCTTTAACATATTAATTTTTCCTGTGTTCTCTATTATTTTCCCAGCCTTCTCCAGCACTTTCCCAGCGTTTCCCATTATATCTCCGATATCGATATCATTATCTTTTTCATCATCACTAGAATCATTTGGATCACCTTCGATAGCCATTTTATTTGATTCAGTAGTTCCGATAGTCTGAACAGTAAACTCCGCTCCGGTTATATTGCTGGCCCAAAAAAGAGAAACGCGTGATTGTAGCATTTCATATGTTGGATCATCCTTTTTCAGACCCCTTACTTTCGATGTTAATTCTTTAAAACGTAACATGAAGCAAATAAGTGAGACAGCGTGGAGACTGTTGCTCGCGATTTCAAAAAATTACTTACTTAGGAATAGACTCAGAGATCTGCTATTTGTTGGAGATGAAAACGCCCAACCACGAACGCGAATATTCCAATTATCAGTTAAACTACCTGTCAATAGCAATCGAGACGAAATATATCACATTGTATAAACATCTCAACGTAGTAACTTTGAATGTGTTAGCACCACTAAATTCGCCGTTAGTCTAACTATTTTTTATCATTACCATCGTCCGCGTGTTTAGTAGCATACGTGGGAAATAGTATACAATGCTGTTCATACTTCTCCGGGGTTTTCAACCCAAGTTGCGAGTCTTCTACCGTCGTCGCCTCTTGATTTTGCATGTTTCGAAGAGTCGAATTAATTATTCATACCCGATCATGTATTTATATATGGTAAACGATAATCAAATCTGGGTGTAACAGTTTCACAAAGTTCCCCAGAATTTACATCTTCTTGGCACGTACGATGATATCATCCGTTCATTGTCTTCATGTGCACAGGTTTTGCTTATTTTCCGTTTAAATGTGATAAATTGTACGTTTCACCAAATAAGATCGATTTACATTCCACGGTTGGGGGACCGTTTTGAGCATTCCCGATTGGTACATCCATTGCCCATTTCCCTCCCCAACCAACACAACTGGCTGATGAGGCCTAGGCAGCTCTTTCTAACATTAATAAGATGAAGAAACAGGGATAGGAAACACAGAAAAGTTCCTGATAATTAGCCATGCCCCACGGCTCAATATCAAAGAGAATTAACCTGTACTGAATGGAACAGAGTTCATCTTTGGTGAGCTTTATCTGTTTGCTGAGAGTACACTTGTACATGATTAGTCGGATAAGGACCATATTTCTTAGTATTAGGGTGTTTTTAAGGCAGCATCCTGGGTCATATTATAAGTATTGCACAAAATATATGGATTTTTTTTTACACACAGTCAAGTGCTATCGTCAAACATGATATTTCGTATTAGTAATAATCAAATGTATTTTTGGCGGACACTTGACGACGATACCGCTAAAAAAGCAGGAAGTTGATAACCTATCGTAAGACCATCTAATCAAACTTATGTTACCGTAATATTAAACTTTGTGGTCGTTCTTCACACACAAATTGACGTGCGAGACTTCATTATTAATTCCAATCTACATAGCTGTCCATGCTAAGATTAGATTCGTCCATCAGCGTCATCCGACGAGTGTCTCGGAAGACCCAGGTATTCTGTCGAAATGATAGCACCAAATCTTGAGGTAGACGCTTCAGAATGTTTTGCCATTTTAGTTGTTTGCAAGGACTGACATAAGCAAGAAATCTTATTACAATTGATCAGTTTACACATAAGAATGTACTGACCAGTGCGGATGCCAACTAATCGGGGTGACGATAGATAGTCTAATCGACCATTGTAAAGATTTGACGACCAATTGAATGCCTTACTTTTTACACGTCTTTTCGGTGCTACCAGTTTTCCATATTTAGGACATGTCTAAAGCGGAGCAGATCCCTCGCAATTCCATTGGTCAAATTTGTATGGCAGCCAATGAAACTGCAAATACATGATCACGTTCTGCTCCGCTTTAGCCTTTCCCCATATTTATCGATTCAATTACCACTTGCATAAGCGCCTTGAGCTCTTAAACAATTAATATAAATGTTAAAATCAGATTATTAATTAATATTAACTAGATATGAATTTATAGGGGCTTCGCCCCCTGTATTGACATATAATTCTGTTGAGAAAAACCATTGTAAACATATGCATAAATAGTGGTTATCATATATATGGTAGAGTATTTATTGCTTACAAATGATAATGTTGATATTTTTTATTATTTCTGATATTCATATTAACCCGTCGCACAAATTCAATCAAATATTCCAAACACGCGCATTACTATAAATTCCGTAACGTATTAACAATACAAGTTTGGCTAATCTCTTACAGACTAATAATCATAATCGATGCTAAAATTAGAGCCGTCTACAATACGACTAATAATGTCACAAAGAAAATAAAGTTTATAATAGAGAAAACCAACGGCGGGCATTACTAAATTACTAAAACAAAGTTTTCAACACTAAAAACATACGCTAAAAATGCTAAGCGTCACAGCGTAATGTACGACATTCGGTAAAAGAAAAATAGAGACTACTGAAGAAAAGAAAATAGCGAAATCAGAATTTGAGTTTATACCCAAGAAAGTAAATTACTACCAACGAAGCATATGTGGCCGTAACCGCAACCCGCTTACAAGTTTTCAAAGAAAAAAAAGTTACATTATGATTTTTATAAGAAAGCAAGTTTAACTTATCGGATGGTAATTGTGTGTAATTTTTTTTGATCGATTCTTGGTCGCTTTCGACCGTAGACGCAGAGTCCATT